GGCTTTACATCCGGGTCCTCAAAGTAAGTATCGCTCAGCTCTCGACTCTTCCTCAGGTAGCCCAGCAGGTCCCCGAACGGAACAAACTCTATAAGGACCAACAGAGGGTCTGCGGATAAAAAACAACAACAACGTAACCATGCTGAAATAATTTTACTTTAATTCTCAGCTAAGCAATCAAATTCACTATAATTTTGAGATTCTTAATTCTGCCATTTCAGCCAAGCTAAGATGGTTGTGGCCTTATGGCATTCATTATTACCATCAAGACTTGGATGGATACTAAATAGCGAAGTGGGAAAAACTCTAGATAAAACTTAAAACCTTCCTTTCATAAGTAACATACCCCGATGTGTCGCTACTCTTCTTACCGGTTTCTGTGACGCATGCCATTAGCTTGATCACGTGTGGATGAGGTTTCAGTTTTTTCATCAGCTCAAGTTCTGACAAAAGATCCTTTCTGTCTGAATCTGGTGCATTTGCTACAGGCACAAGCAAATTCAATAATTCGTTTAAAGGGAAATGTCAGTAATACTCCCTATTATTAAGCCTACTGTTTCCAAGGATATTTTTACACTTTCCCTGCAAACACAGTCTCTTCCCTCAATCCATACTTTGATTACACAATGCTTAGGCTGATTTCTTGCCGTCATTTTTTCAGAGTGACTCTCCATCACAGAGCCTTATTTTCTCAAAAGTTTATGGCGTGTCCAACACGTGTGGTTTTCTTTTCATTTTTTTTAACAAAAATTTTCTTCCACTGCGGCTAATGTCTGAAGCTTTATCTCGCTTGTTGAAGTGGGATTTCATTTATTATTTGTTTAAAACATGGGCAAGAATGTATTTTAAAAAGGCTAATGATGTAACCACGTTAATTAATTCTTTTTGAAAACTCTCGGTGAGCCCGAGGAAAAAGTATTTCAGCAAAAGACGTCATCAATTCAAAATTTCCACTTTTTCGTTAATTTTCAAAAACTTGAAAACGCTTCTAGTATCAAAGTAGTAGTAGTAGTAGTAGTAGTAGTGGTAGTGGTAGTGGTAGTGGTAGTGGTAGTGGTAGTGGTAGTGGTAGTGGTAGTGGTAGTGGTAGTAGTAGTAGTAGTAGTATGTAGTATCAAACAGAAAATTCCAAGACAATGTGAGTATAATTCAATAAAAAAACTGGTTAGCCAATTTTGTAGGGCGCAGAGTCCGGGTCTCAAATATTAGAGGCCTTCCCCCAGTCTGCAAAAAAGTCTAACTTACTTAAATCTAAAATGTCATAATTAAATCATGCCGTACCTCTTAGCATTTTGGCTGCCACTGTGATAACCTTCTGGTTCTCTCGTAAGTTCCAAAGGGTTGCCTTGGCAACTTCGGAAAAGGCCCCTTTACCTATTACTTTAATGATATTGACTTGTTGTCGAGTTATTTCCCAGCTTCTTCGCGAAGGATGAAGAGGCATGTAATCTCCACTCCCCGGAGTATCGGAGGTAACAACAACATCATATTCCATTGTGCTCGATGGCTGTGTGACTGGTTCGTCTTGCGTGGCTATGGGTTCCTAGAACCCAAGACAAAAGAAAGATCAAAGACCAAGTAAAAACTACTCGCTCTATTCAAAAAGGAAAGAAAAATAAGCGTTTGTTTACAGTGGAGTTGCACTTAATAGCTTTCCCGCTATTTTACAGGGCACTCCATTCAAATAATTAAAAACAAATACTAAATTCAAACAGAACAAACAGGATGTAAAAAAACCCAACTAGCAGAGGCAACCAGGCACAAAAATGGCCGAGGAACTGTATTTGAAATCACCGAGGATGAAATTTGGCTAGTGGAGAAAATGAAGATGATGCAAACTACTTTATACATTAGAGGGATTGAACCACTCTGGATTGTAGGTGAAATGCTTTGGTGCGCCAAGATATGGCTTTTTCCTATTCTAATCTACAGTGAAATATTTATGCAGACAGGAAGTAATTCGCCTACCATATCTACAAACTCTTTGCCTTTCACTTTGTTGATTTTCCTGAAATAAAAAGTTACAAGGTGTGCATGTAAATGCATTTATGTAAAACACCGAAAAGTCCTTCGCGTGCTGGCTAAAAGCTCTTCAATTTTAGATTCAGTGTGAAAGCAGAGTGTATATTTTTGTTGTTGTTGTTGTTGTTGTTGCTGTTGATGTGGTTGTCGTTGTATTTCTTTATGTGTTGGAAATGGAAATAGAAATGTAATAAATCAAATACTTTGTCCTTTCTTATTACTAACTGTGAAATGGCCAATTGTTTGTATAACCATACTTAAATTGGCAGTGTTACTCACCGTCTTGAATTTGTGAGCTCTAAAAGAAAAAGAGATTTCATCAATGCTGTACGCATAAAAAATATATCCACCTACTCTTCATTTTTAGGTATTTTTCTGATACTGTGGCAGGTCTTTGGAGTTCTTGGTGAGTTTTGTGCAAAAGTTTAGGTGTTTTGGCTAGAATTGACTTGAGTTTAGAGGACGCTAAAAATAGCGTACACTTGTGAACTTCACCAAGCTTCAGTCAATGTAATAACAATGTCAAAAGCAATGAGGGCGCGAAAGTGAAGCTACCTTAACTAGAACTAAAGTCATTTTCAGGCAGTTACGAAGAATGGCAGAGTTTCTGGGACTCTTTTGAATCTGCAATTAACAGAAACACTGACTTTTCAAGAATCTAAAAATTCACCTATTTGATGAGTCGTGCGACAGGCGCAGCCGAATCTGCAATTACCGGGTTGCCTCTCACTGAAGATAATTACGAAACAGCTATTGATATTCTTAGAGACAGATTTGGTAAACCACAGTTGTTGATTTCTAACCACATGAAAGCTTTGTTGAAATTGCCAATGGTCAGTTCAGTGCATGAAACGAAGAAACTCGATCCGCGATTTATATGACAAGATTAAGATAAACGTTCGAAGTTTGAAAGCACTAGGCATCGAATCAGAGTCCTTTGGAAATTTACTAGTTCCAGTTGTAATGGAGAAAATTCCTTCTAGTCGAGATTAACCATCAGTCGCAAGTTTGGCAGTAAAGAAACTTGGGACCTTGATGCCCTGTTAATTGCACTGAGATCTGAGTTGGGGACAAGAGAAAGGTGTAATGCAGTGAAAAAAAGTAGTCCAACCAATTCTAACCTAAGATTTGACCAGCATAAGGGAAGATTCAAACAGCTCCTTTCCTCATATGCACTTTATGCAGGCAGTGAAGATTGTACTCTGCATTGTGTCTTTTGCAAGAAAAATCAAGTCTATCTCCTGTAGTACCATTACTGAATCAAAGGCTAGAAGAACTATACTGGGAGGAAGTAGTGGGTGTTTTCACTGCCTGAAAGCAGGGCATATTACACCAGGTTGTCAGGTTGTCAGTCACGTGGCCATCTGTGAAAATCCTCAGAAGCCTGTCCAACCTAGTACTGAGTTCAGGAACTGAATCAGCCTCACTTAGTAGATCTGAAACTTCCCAGGAGAGATCCAGAGATGTTGGAACATCAACAATGCATGTCGGCAGCAATAATAACTCTGTACTGTTGCAGACAGCCCAAGCCTTTATTTCTAGACCAGATAATCAGGAAACTGGAAAGTATACTCAAGTCATTTTTGACTCTTGTAGCCATCAGAGATCTTGTATAACCAGCAAGACACGTGAGCAGTTAAACTTACCTACTGTTGGTAAGGAAACCTTGCTAATCAAAACATTTGTTGACAATTCAGCATCTGTAAAGGAATGTGACATTGTGAAATTGTGCATCAGAACAATAGATGCAATGATTGTGTACGTCACTGCTTACGTTGTACCGGTAATATGCAGTCCAGTATCGAACCAAGAAATTCAGTAGAATGCTATCCATACATTCAAGGGCTACAACTTGCATGTGGAACTGTTAATGGAACAGTTAGTGTTGACTTACTGATAGCAGCAGATCACTACTGGTCTTTCTTTACTGGAAGAATAATCAGGGGAGATCCTTCTGGACCCGTAGCTCTTGAGACCAAGTTGGGATGGGTACTGTCGGAACCAGCTGCAGTTCGTGCAGAGTCATGCACTATTAATCTAAGTGCTACACATGTTTTGGAGATTGAGTCGGGTGACATCAGCCATGTGCAAGATGATTTGCAGAAATTTTGGGACTTGGAGACCTTAGGCATAAGGGACACTGAAACTTCAGTTCATGACAAGTTTTCGAATGAGATAAGATTCACTGGTGAAAGATACCAAGTCAAGCTACCATTCAAGGATAATCACCCTATGCGGTCAGATTATTACACAAATGCATTCACGAAGGTTGGCAACTGTGATTAAGAAGCTTAAGACCCAACCAGAAATAATGAAACAATATGATCAGGTGATTAAGGAGCAATTAGAAGGTGGAGTAGCTGAAGGAGTACAACAAAGATCAAGTCCTAGAACCAGGAAATGTACACTATCTCCTGCACAGGGGAGTTGTGAGACTTGGCAGAGATACAGCAAAGGTGAGAGTTGTATACGATGCCTCATCCAAGGTGTTTGGACCAAGCTTAGATGACTGTCTGCATGTAGGACCTTCATTAAATTCTCTTCTATTGGACATTTTGCTGCGATTTAAAGTTCATGAAGTTGCTGTAACTGCTGATATTGAGAAAGCATTTTTGAATATTAAGATTGATTCACAACACAGAGACTTTTTACGATTTCAATGGGTAGATGATGTCAATAAGGAATCACCTGAGATTAAGTAAATTCGCTTTACAACAGTTGTATTTGGAGTGAATGCTAGCCCCTTCATTCTCAATGCCACCATCAGACACCATGTTAATATATGTATGCTGAATGACAATGCATTTGCACTTGAGGTTTTGAAGTCTTTGTACGTAGATGACTTTGCTTCTGGGGCCAAGGATGTGAACAATGCCTTTTCTTTGTCGAAGGAGATAACACTTTGTCCCAAATCAGGAGGGTTCAATATAAGGAAAAGGAACAGCAACTCAGCAAGTCTTTTGCAATCCCTGAAACAAGATGCAGCATTCAGTGGAGTCTTTTCTACAAACAGTAAAGTTCTTAAGCAAGGTACTGAGAAAGAACAGAAGGTTTTGGGAATGCTTTAGAACCCTAACCAGGATATCGCAGGGTGTAGAAGTTCAGCCAGCTACAAGAAGACTGATTCTCAGTACTGCTACGACATTTTTTGATCCCTTGGGGTTAATATCTCCAGTTATTCTAACCTTCAAGATTATGTTTCAAAAACTGTGCAAGGCACAAAGGGACTGGGACGAGTTGGTGGATACCGAACTCAACCAAGAGTGGTGGTCAACTTTGTCAGACCTAAGACCAGGTGGAAGAGTGAGTTTAAAAAGGTGTTATGCTGAAGGTCTCGGTAGGAATGAAGTTAAATCGCTCCAACTTCATTGTTTTGCAGATGCGTCGGAAAAGGCGTACAGAGCCGTTGTTTACATGAGAGTAGAATACGAGTCAAGAGTAGAATGTGAGATTGTGACGTCGAAAACCCGAGTCACTCTCTTGAATAAGAAAACGATACCGCGTCTAGAACTCCTGTCTAACCTCACTGCGTCAACATTGGTGAACAGTGTGAGTCAACCTTTAGAAACTGTTGTGAAAGTGAACGTAGTCAATTGGACGGATTCTATGATTTCTTTGTGGTGGATTAGAAACACTGAGGAAGAGTACTTAACAGAATTACTTGTTCATCACAACTGCAATTCGAGTAAAAGGAAACTAGCGATTATTTGCGTCTACAAAAATAAAGCGCCGAGACAACTTTGTGGTATGGGAGTCGTCAAATCTCTCATTACAGGACGAGATGGTTACCACAGAGGAGCTGTTGTAAGAGTGCGTAGTTGAGATCGAGTCGGGGAAATGACAAGACCCCTAAATAGGCTTTACCCTGTGGAGGTCGAATCACAAGTGCGAGAAGAGCGTCAGAGCAGAAACACTGATTTCCCTATTACCTATGTGGGAAATGCTGAACAGGAGCATGTTGGTGAACATTAAAATTAAGTCAAGGAACAGCTCTTCCGCTTTGATTTGTTATTTTATTCGCTTCGTTGTTGATTGACCTGTGTCAATCAAGGCGAGGAGTGTGTTAGGAAATTATTGCGTCATTGTGGCGGGAAAACTCGTCACGTGATCTGAAAACTGAGCTTAGTACAAGAGTCTAAGAACTGTGAAGTCGTTCGGAGTCGTGGAGCTGATCGAGTGTGTAGATTGAGTGTAGATCATCGAAATTTTACGAGAACTAATGTCGATGAATCCTTTAAGTGTAGAACAGAGTACAGAATTCTATTTAAAGCTACAGAGAACTGGTTGTATCACAGATAATTCGTGACAAGCCCACTGGGGTAGGACAGGTTGGAGCCTCAGCCTAACAAGAGGAGATGGACGCCCCCGCCCACTAGGGCCTGGGGTGGCACTCCCGTCAGGGTTACGATTCCCGCGTAGATACAAAAGTAACATAGGATCCTCTACCAGAAGACACTAGTTTGGTGTCTGGAGCGTTGTAGGCTACCCTAATAAGGGTAAATGGATCTCTCTGAGTTTTGGTTAGCAATTCGTCTACTAATGGTGACATAATTCTGAGGGTAAATAATAAACACCAGTAGATTGAAACTACGGAATCGAACAAAGTACCACTGATACACCACACTGCAATTACACCTGATATCCAAGAAGAACACCAAATTGTTGATAATATGAAAGCTGAAGAGGAACCCAGTGGTTCCAAAGCTGAAGAGCTACAAAAAGAGGTTAACCCGGTAGTCAATCTTCTTCATAAAAGTATTCAACACTGGTGCAGTTACATCAGAGAGCAGGATTACCATCACAGAGGTCAAGTGATAGAGCAAAGTTGAGGACGTAAGTTGAAAAAGTCAACAGAGCCATCGAGGGGATTTAGACGCACAACATCATTTAACTGCAGATGTCACAACAGAGAGAATGGGAATGCTAAAAAAGAGGAGAGGAAAAAAACTAAAGAGCCATTTTGGAAGAGAAGGATCAAGAGAAACATTGAAACCTGGAGAAAATATCTTAGTACGATTGAGGAGGTCGGAAGAGAAAATATTTAATCGAAACAAAGAGAGACGAAAAGGTTGAACAGAAAATATCGTTTCGAGGAAAGGGGTACTATGTATGTTTGAGTTGTGCTGAGACAGAAATTTAGGCAGGTGGAATTAAGATCAAAAGAAATGACTAGAGATGTCAACAGTTCAAACAGAACCAACGATTTTGAACTAACCAGAAGCTGTTTTATATGTATTAAACGCTAAATGTAAAAACGAGGTGAAACAGAGTTACCTGATACCACTGAAGCTACCATCTTTTGGAGTGGGATCTTTTCGGAGAAAGTTAGTCACAATGGATACAGCACAACATAGACACAAGAAGATATAATCATTATTGTGGAGGACATTTGAAATGGAGTGAACAAAATGGCAAATTGGAAGGCAGCAGGCCTGGCAAAGGGCATTAGGCCTATCAACCATCTATAGTTCACGGATGATCTGAAGCTCTACGGATCAATTTGGCTCACTTATTCAAGCGCTCAGGATTTCCTCTGAGAACATCAAGATGTAATTTGGGCTAGAAAAGTGTTTGTCTTGGAAATGAGAAGAGGAAGGTAAGTTGACAGCAGTAGAATAGACCAACCAGATGACCAGCACATAGGAGAAGTTGAGGAAGAGGGCTACAGATTCCTTGGCATTTTACTATTTGACCAGACTCTCAATACCAAGATGGAAGGCACGATAACAGCGGAATATATCAGACGAGTAAAGAAGCTGTGTATATCAAAATTGAATAGCGGAAATCTTATTAGCAGCATAAATGCCTGGGCTACAAGTGTGGCACGCTGCAGCGTAGGTGTCATGGATTGGACAGTGGAAGAGGTGGTCAACATGGATCGAAAAACTAGGAGGATACTGGCAATTAATGGCTGTCTACACACCGGAAGTAATGTCGCCAGATTATATCGATCTGCCGAGAAAGGGAGGGATTGGGTTGATTGATATTGAGGAGTGTGTAAAGAAGCGAGTCTTTGCATGGATGCCTGAGGAATGGCGCAGAGTAGATGCTGCAGTTTTGAAGGAGAAGGTGCTTCTTGATGATATTCTTCAGGACTACCAGTGAGAGGAGAAGGAAAGAGGAAGCAGTAAGTAACTGGAACGAGAATTCCCCGGGGTACCGGCAAATGGCCGCTTAGTAACGGAGGTTGACCACTCAATAGAGGTTCTTCATAAATGGGCATAATCCTGAGCAGAAACATTACTTTATTTTGAAACAAACACGTGAAGGGAGCAGCATTTCTGGTTCACAATCAGTCGTCACCTTCTATCTCGAACTATATGTTTCTCCATCACATTTTAGAAATAAAGCCAAATTAAGTGTATCACGCTCTTGACAGAGGTAACAACCATGAGAGGACACTTGTTGGGACGGGGCAAAAGGTGACCGCGGCCGCTAAATAGAGGTGTACGTTCCCATTCTTGTCTACAACTATTTCGAGACTTTGATCACTGGCCGTTTAATAGAGGGTAGCCTTTCAATAGGTGGCCGCTTAATGGAGGTTCAACTGTAATAATGGGATAATAATAATAATAATAGTAATAAGATGATGATGATGCTGCTGTTTGGTCAGTCTGCTTTTCTTTTTAAGAGTATATTTTACCTATCAACAAACTCACCCAAGCGAAGTCGCATTTTCCAGATAAAAAAAATCAAGGTAAAGGTAAAAATCAACAAAAGAAGTATACAACTGACGTAAACACCATGCAGAAGTCCTTCGCTACTTCTCACAGAACCTAAAAAATTAAGGAAAGGTTGTTTTTTATGATGACAAAACACATTGATAACAAATGCAAACTATAGCAAATCCTGTGTTTAGGTAATTCCCTTGAAGAGTATTACTATCCATGTGTTATAAGTTTTATTGTGAATTAACTTGTGACCTCTCGTCAACAGTAGCCGTGTGGATGCAGTAATACCTAAGCATTTCACGTACCGAGTTTGCCGACTTTTGTTTGTTCCCCCTGCCAGCTAACCCAAACATGTCCATAGTTTGGCTATTGAGGTCGCCGTTAGTCGGTTTAGCATTTAGTATATTATGATAGCTAGATTGACAGAAAAAATTAGTTAGTGCTCAAGCTTTAGTTGTAAAAGACCTAAAAATTGAGCAGTCTCATTACCTCTCTTGCAAGCCACCTACATAGCAGTTAATATTATTGACTGCGACTCCTTGACTTCGTAAGGATACATACAACGTGGTGCTGCACATACTAGAACGTTACTAATTAAAAATCGGTATCTCTACATACTAAAGATTACAGGGATCACAATTTCCCACAGGTATTTACCCCGTTATTTGTAACCATTTATTTGCTAGGTACAGAAAAAGGGAAAAAATTGTTTCCAGTTTATTATTAGACTGCAAAACAGTACGTATTTTTGCGTATTCAAGCACCCGCGAGCAGTCAAACAAAAGGTCTGGAACGAGGCTGAAAACAGAGAGCGAGACTGGGGAGAGAGAAAAAACCGAATGTTTTGAGTCTAGTTTGTTATGAGTTTCTACACATTGTTTGTCGTGCTACGGAAGGACTCTCTTCTATAAAGTATCGAGTGCGCGAGAGTACTGAAATCTCATTTAACATTTCGTTATTTTGTTATGCAAAATTTTATTACGTAAATAGGTCTTGTATGTTCTAACCTGTTTGATCTCCTGCAGGATTAGAACCTAAGAAAAGAGTAATAATGTTAACGATCTCGCGATAAAAGGGATTTTTGCTAGCAAAAATGTCCTTATATGTGTCTGTAAGTTAACATCATTTTCACTTCCCTTTTTGTCTCTTTACTCTTATTATTATAAGCTTTGGTTGTATAAAGCCGCCCCCTCCTCTCAGAGAAAAAAGCGAGGAAGTGGCGTCTGAGATTCTCCGTTGCTAATCGTGTATGGAGGCCACGTGATTTTTCCCGGAATGTGTGGAACATGATTTGATTGGCTGTTACTCGTAGATCACTACATCATGTAAATGAGGGTTTTTGATTGAATGTAAGAATCAAGACAAAAATAAGATTTGTTCAGTAAAAGTTTATGGTGCTCCGTGCACTGTGATGCATAATCTACGCGCTAGAAAGAAAAGAGCAAACTCTAAGGTCACGTTTCGCACAATCACGAGCTTATGAGTCGCGTTTGACCTGTCAACACTTTATGTCAAACTAATAAATTTCCGTATCCAGTGGGATGGCTTGCATAAGATCAGGGATCTGCTTGTAAGAACATTTTTGATCGGTATAGAGTAAAGCGATTTTAAAAATGTCTCACTCTTTCAGTTGCTCAATGGAAATAAGTCGCATGCACCAGAAGTTTGAGAACTGGAATGACATGAGACATGAGCCACGGAAATTTTGGTTGGCGGAAACCATTTTTTTTAATTTATGCAAAATTATTCCATTAGCAACGGGGAATCACAGACATCCCTTCTCCGTTGTTTTTTTTTTTTTTTCTGAGGAAGGGGGCGGCTGTACACGGGCTATTCCAAGCTCACGAGTTTTTTTTAATCACGCCCATATCATTTATTCTTAGCAAAGTGAACGTACTCAAACAACACTTCCGATGATCACAGTTGAGAAACAGGAAGAATAAGAAGAACTATCCCAATCTCAGCATTTCAAAAGTTCAGAGGAATCACAGGGGCACCCAACGTCAATTTTCGGAAAATATCTGTTCGGAAGACGATTTGAGATCTAGAATTATCGGAACATTTGTTATAAAATTTCTTGCTGGCCTGCTCCTCCTAGGATTTTCGAACATCTAAAAAATAGTACATGTGTATAGTTGCCCATTTTTAACGGATTTTTACCTTTAAAAAATTTTCTGGAAACTTTTTTCTGGCTAAAATTTTCGGAAAGGTAAGGTTTGATGCCTATAATCTTCAGATCACTAGACTAGGTAATCCGAACAGATGAAAAATTTTTAGGGGAGAAAAACATGACTATATCTACCGTTTAAATACTAAAATACGTTCAACAATGCTATGTTTAAGTGGTTTTGAACTATATCCTCGTTGGGTGCCCCTGGAATCAGAGAGGCGATATTTCAGCAAATGAAGGCGCACCTTGCTGCCCCTTCACTCCATGTATGATCACACTTGGCTCACGCAGACCGAGTCAGATAAACCAAAATAGGGGGATCTACTTCCCCTGTTGGAACGATGTGGCTAAAAGTCACAAGGGTGACAAAGGGGCTAATTACAGGATGCGTTTAGGCTGCTTTGATTTAACCGTACCTGACAACGCTTGAATCCACTTGATGTTTTCTTCCAAGGAACTCTCTCCATACTTGTTGGTAGCCGTTACCACAAATTCGTACACCTTGCCCTTCTCGATTTCAACGACATATTCGCGTTTAGAAATATCATTTATGACCCCAATCAACTTCCATTCATTTCCTACTCTTTGGTAGATCGAATACCGTGTGATGGCTGCTCCGTTGCTGTCTGGCTCGTCCCAATATAAAATTATTTCGTCTGTGATTTCCACGGAGGCAGGGACATCTGTGTACATAAGAGGTGGAAGCCATTGATACTAGGCACTTTCAATGGAGAAAACGTCACAGAAGTGACGATGTCGAGCGCGTTTTTTCACTTTTTTTTGTTAACATACATCTAGGGTTTGAATTTCATTTTTTTTTAACAACAAGGCGGCACCTTGCATGGGTCTAGGGTCCCGTTTGCACTTGCCCTTTGGTGGATCCGCAATTGTTTTTAATCATTCTTGTAATTCTAATTAATTCATTATTATTATTTTCTTTCTTTAATCATATGTCTGCTTGTTAATTCTTTCATGATTAAAGTTTTGCCGCAATAAAGTGTCAAAAAAAGCAAATTGATCAATGGCAGAGCGGCAAATCATTGAGTATCGGATTTTGCCAATCTGCCTAATGAGTGACGACATTGGTAAAAAAAGCAAATGTTAAAATAAATTGCAAATTACACTTTTGCAACGTTTGCACTGCTATCATTTAAAGAAAATCTTCCTAATTCGACGTTCTAATGAAGATGTAAACACAAAACAAGAAATTTTTTTCTTTCTGCTCCTGAACTTGATCTAGATCCATCAAAATTTAATTATTTTAAGAGTTCGACTGCATTTGAGATTCTGAAACAGCACTTCTCGAGTGACGTTTGGACTGCTGTCTCCGTAATCTTCTGAAAGTTCCTCGCACTTTTTAAAGGTTCCTATGGTAATACCCTCGCTGATGCTAAAAATGGGTTTGAATTAGAAGAGAAATACATACATTCATTCTCCAAAGAGTTCATTAGCAAACCATAATCAATTGTTTTTGTACGATTTTGTCTTCATACTTATGCCAAATCAATTTCAAACTTTAAAGAGATCTTTACCCATTTGGAGAAACTGTCACTTTAAGGCCCCTTTCTTGATTAAAAGTATTGGAGATTTTTGCGTTCACTGAGTTGTAACAAAAAGTTATGAATAATGGGAAAGGGATTAGCTTCCTAATTTCCAGTATTTAACAGAGACACATTGTTATCAGGTCCTACAAATTGTATGGCATTTAACTGAAGAATTTACCCAAACTTACACATACCTCCTACAGCTGCAATTTTTCTGGTATATTTCTCTTCTTTTACACTCTCGCCAAATCTGTTTGAGGCAGTTACTAAAAATTCGTATTCACGATCTTTCTCCAACTTGACAGCAACCTCACGAACTGAGACGTCAGTAATAATACGTATTTTAGTCCATTCCCGAGTTGCACTACTATTATTTACAATTCTTTGGTATACAGTGTACTTTGTGATAGGCGCACCATTGTTCTGAGGCTCATCCCACGTTAATTTCACTGTTACATCTTTTGTCTCAGCTGGTAAGTCCTTTATTAAAGCCGCCTCTGGAACACCTTAACACAACGCAAAATTAGATTGCTAAGTCTGTATGTCGTCTAGACGGTACAGTATAGTTTTCAACAAAAACCGAAATTATATCCAATGTAAAAGATGGACGCGAACAAGCTGATTTTCGAACCATACTATCTGTAGATAAGCAGTGTACAGAAGGAAAAACATTTCAGTGTGTAAAAAATCATGAGATTGCCCTTAATCACATTACAGTGAAATGCCAAGGAGATTGATAAGAGCAATATTTTTATTTGCTATATATATACATGTAGAGTCATCCCTGATATTTCTTGTGTCTGAAGTCTTAACATTCGCAACATACATGTACATTCTATTTAGTCTGTATATTTAATTACCTTTTAAATTTGGAATACGATTTAATAAACCATGCCATATATAGATCGTTTTCACATGACGTCACGGCGGCCAAAATAGTGGACAAAACAATGTACAGCGGCCATGATGGTATGCAGAAAAATTCTTGTGGGGATTTAAGGCTTTTCTAATGTAAAAAATTCTTTGATCCAAGAAATTTTCATAGTGGCTGGTCACGTGAATGAAAACGATCTATTGACTGGCTGAATCTGGTTGACAACCCTCTTACCTTCAGGCTTTGTTTGAACTGTCGCTTGGCTAAAGGGTCCCTCAAACACAAAGTTCCTGGCAAAGACCCTCAAAGAGTATATTGTTCTTTTTCTCAAGCCAGCAAAAACGCAAGTTTTGGTAACAGGGTCAGTCACATTTTTTTCGTCTATTTCTGTGTCTCGCTGTGAGAGTACTACTCGGTAGGCAGTTATAGGACTTCCTCCGTTATCAGCTGGAACTGTCCATTTGACGGTCATTGAAGTTGCTTGCACATCTATTGCGATGTTCGGTAGACTTGGCGCTTCTAAATGAAAATACAGTAAATTATAATAATAATAATAATAATAATAATAATAAAAACAGGAAAAACTTAACATGTTAAGCGCATTCAATACCCTGTTAGGCTAACCCCCTTAAAAGCTCCTTCTTTTAGAGGTAAAAAGTTGTTGAGCGTCTCTCTACCTAACCTCGCTGTTTTCTTGGATAACAAAGTAAATACAAGACAGGCTACAGGCTGAATTAATATTAATGGTCGACACTGATGTTATAGAACTCAAAATATCCAGCTCAAACAGTCACGTCTCTCGTATGGAACAAGAAAGAGAGTAATGCTAGTTCTCGCTTAAACCTGTCCCAGACACTACTGCTGAGAGGAATAAATATTTTACGATTGTATTTTATCAGTGTAGTTAACAGTTGTTAACTGTTAGAGTTCTGAATTGGCCCCAGGTTTTTATTATTTACGTGAACAGCGAGAGAGGGAAATATTTACCAACTGAAACAGATTTTCGTTAAGTGGTGAGTACAGTGGTAACTTTTAGGATTCCTCTCACTATTACAATTACCGTTTTAGTTTTGATTTTATTAACATTTTTCTTACTTATTTGCTTTACTTGAATCATCTTTGAAGCAAGCGGAAATCCATTGTCAGCTGTGCAGTTATAAAGACCAAAATCATGTTCAGTATTCATTGTCAAAACAGCAGTACTCTCATAAGCCTTGACCTCGTTAAACTTAGTTCCATCAGGTTTGTACCAGGACAGAGTCGGCACAGGAACACCATCTGCCTTGCAAAGCAGCGTCACTGTCTGACCAATCCATGAGTTAGCCATTGAAGAGGTAATGTTGTCTATGGTTGCCGGGTCTATTAACAAGGCAAAAAAGTTAATTGCCAGCGGCTTTTTTCAATGGATGCTCCGCTAGAGTATGGTTAGGCGTAAGTCGTGGATAAAATTGAATAGTTAGCTGGCATTCTTGAAGAAAAGTGGAATTTTTTAAACAGAAAAACCTGTTTTTTTTTTCAAGGGCAACATATAACTTTAAGAAGAAATTCCTCTTTATGTATCCAAATGCTACACAATAATGCGTATTCATGATAGAAATTTTGTTTAGCTTGTAAAGTGCTATTGGAGGCCTGCACTTAAATTAGCCAAGAATCACCTAAACACATGGCACATTAAAAGGTAGCAAACACCATACATACAAGGAATGGTGCTGCACTTTATGATGGAAGCACCATGGCTGTGCACAATCTTTTACTTTCTGTTCATAAATTTCACAGATTAAAATTTAGTGACATTAGATGAGTTCAAAATGATAGGAATGATATTGAACGTTGTGCACCGTTAGGTCCACAACTGACATGACAAAGGGTTCTGATGGGCTTCATAACCATTCCACTCTATTAACTATGATTCAAACCTCCTAATTTAATGGCGAAAGGAAGTAGGGTCGAAACCTCGTGACGATGCTGCAGTAAACAATTATTGTGATTCGAAATGATAATCGGAAAACATACCCGCTTCTACTTCAAATTGATCAGGATGTTAACTGAATGTGCGTGGCTGTGTGACCAGGTGAATTTTACAAATTTGAAGGTATTAAATGAGATAATTGAACATTCTGGGAGTTTCTTAAGTATTGAGTTACGACTGCCGTTGAAAGTAATAGGCATGTATTTGTCAGATATACATGTTTTGTATTCAACAGTTTGTAATTTAATAACATCGTAAGTTATTCAACAGTGTTTTAAAGGAAGATTCCAAACCGGGAGAACGAGCACAAAAGTGTAGATACACGATACCAGCAGCGACATGCAAAAGTGAACCATATGTGTCGCAGTACTATTTGCTAAAATGCCAAGCAGATCGTTGATGAAAAGCTCACAGACAATCGAACAGTCAATGGCGGGGAGGGATTCCATGGCGGTACTCGAATCTCGGTTATCGGTTATACTCCTATGAGGTCTCCACGAAGGTAATCAGCAAACAGAACAGGGCACTGAACGGGAAGGACTCTTCCCAAATCGAGCTGTGTGACTGGGTAAGGTTTTTTAACTTACCGACGTCGTTAATTCGCAGTTGTTTGATCACTTTACCGTCCAGGACACACCTAATACCCCAGGACATACCCACCATTTATTGCACTGTATGGACGTTTTCGAGTGGATAGGTGCTGTTGCGGGACCGCTTAATGGAGACCGCTTCGTAATCGGAGCCGTTTTGTTTTCTCACTCTCAGATAAAATGAGTTCCGTCCAAGTCCCGGGCGCCATTGTTTTCATGCTAGCATCTACGTCAACATCTTGACTTTGCCCAGCAACACAACACTCTCATCCGCGTTGTCGTGTTCTTGGTTTCAGCGTGTTTAACTGTTCGTTGGTTCTTTCATGCATCACCTCACTGGAATTACAGAGAATCCTGGACTCGTTTGGTGCTATTGAGGTTGTTGTTGTTGTACTCCCCCAGTTTTTCACATCATTGTTTCTGCGAGGACATGTGCCGCTCGCCTGCTCTCTCGCTTGGTTGGTACTGTTTTATTATTATCATTATTATCGTTACCATCATCATCATCATTATCATTACTATTATTTAAAGGCTTTCAAGATAAAAAGAGTTGAGCAGATTGTCCAAGTCTCGCAAAAATAAAGATCATTGTACCAGTTATTTTAGTCCATTTCTCTTTAAAATCTGGCGCTGCATAACTTGCTCATTCATTACTTTTTCCTGCATTCTCAATCAATGATGAGCTGGTGATAGTGTGTAAAAGTCTTATTGACCTTTCCGATGACAAGCAGTTTCTGATCGTAGAAATTAAAGCGGAAAATTTTGATGTTGCAATAGAAAAAATTCGGGAATAAAAATAGGTCAGACTTGAGCCTTTTCTCGCTGACATTATTAAGTATTAATTGATACCTTTATCGGTTCCTTGAACGGTCCTTTTTAACATTAATTTAATTTATAAACGATATTTATACAAGTAAATCCAATTCAGCTGATGCCAGTTTCTTCAGAGGCCTGTAAGTAAGAACACAAAAAGCTACTAATATACGCCAGTGTAATATCCGGAAAGCCGGAGAGTTCTAGCGCTGCTGGAAGTATCGTTCCGCACTATTCTATACATGTATAGTCAAATATTATTATAATAAAATATTTCGATCATAACTGTAAACTTCGCCCACGGAATTTGCAATGATGTTAGTTACTGGGTCTTACTACGGCCACGTGAACTTTCTTATACGTGACATAAAAAGTTATTCAAAGCCTCTTGGGAGCCGGTTACTCTCCCCTTCACCTTCCTAGTTCAGTCGGATCATCAGAGGTAGCCTTGCCTGACATTCGAAATCTCCGGGTCTCTCTATCGTTGTGGGAACAGGGCTACCATCCTTGAGCGTCTTCCGAGGTTTGTATCAATAGATAACAGATCAAATCTGCAGAAAATAAAATATACAGTCACGTTCTATGTAAAACAAATACATTTATGTAACCACGCACTCACGGTTAACTTCAAGTTTTAGTTGTTTTGATATTCGTCCCGCACTGTTGTTAGCGGTACATGTGTATATCCCTGCATCTTTCTTGTCGCTTTTATAAAAACTGAGATAAGTTGTATTTTGGCCAGAGCTTTTTACTTGTCCATTATGGGTCCATCTCACTTCTGGGGCTGGTTTTCCTGTTGCTGCACAAGTGATGTTAACATGACTCCCTTCATTGTAACTTGCATTTT